TTGTTTCTGTTCTTCTCAGAATGTGGACGAAGCAACCTCAGCCCGGATTGCGCTGGAGAGGCAGCTGGAAAATCTGGAGGTTCAACTGTCCTTCCTGCAGAGAGTTCACAAAGAGGTAACACATAGCTGCCTCGTGGTTGGCATGTCATTCATATTCCCCATCAGTGGTTTAACGGGCTGTAAATTTGCTGGTTATTGTCAAATCCAGCTCGTGTTGATGGACAGAGTGAGTAAGACCATAAATATTGCAGTTATCTATTTGATGTGAAAACTTCAGAGGAAGTCAAACAGACAAGTTCTGATTTATCTGTGGGGCAGAGTGGTAGATTTGCTTTCATAGAATTGAAAATGTTCCTAGCTCATTTAACTGTCCCCCACCCGTGTTTGTTTTTGTTCTACTGAAAGGAAATTGAGGAGTTGATCCTGCACATCTCTTCAGCATCCTCTGAATCTGACTTCATGTTTGGCCTCCCAGACCTTTCCCCTGCCCTAAAACAGATTCAGTCTCAGTACGACAGCATTGCTGCCAAAAACCTGGAGGTAAGTGGCATTGATGAAGCTGAAGTATGCCCCGACTCTGGAGAATTAGTCTCTAGATCTCTTTGCATCTCATTCTGTGTTGTCCAGGAAATGGAGACCTGGTATAGAACCAAGTTTCAGGATCTTGATAACACCTCCAGTGAACATATTCAAAGAGTCCGAAGTATGAGAGAGGAAATTGCTGCCTATAGGAAGAATGTGAGTGTTACTTTCTGTTCTTCTTGTGGTTCATTCTGCAACTTTTCTGGATACTCAGTGTACATATGCACAATTAGATCCTAGACAAAGAACATGAACTGGAGATACTGAAGACAAGGAATGAGTATTTGGAGGCCCAGATCCGTGACAGATTGGAGAAATATAAGAATGAAGAGAAGGGCTTAGAGGTAACTAACTGACTGACTTATAGAGATATTTTTTGTCATCCTATGGCCTGATCACAACAAAAAAACATACACCTCTGATGTAATTTCAACAGGAGCACATTGAGGGAATTAAAGTGCATTTGAAGGTGAGCAAGGAAAAGACTGCTCTGCTGCTGCGAGAATATCAGAACCTCCTGAATGTCAAGATGGCTCTGGAGATTGAGATCGCCACCTACAGGTGAACAAGCATTACAATAGGTTTTAAGCACTTAGAACACTTAAACTGTTAATGTGCACACACACAGATGTGGGTGTGTGGCTTTTACATCAAGTAGAAAATAAATAGTATTATGCAAAAATCTTGAGACACTCCTTTTTTTCTTTACAGTTTGCCTCCAAAGAAACAGATTTCCCTTCTAATTTTCTCAAGGCTTTGTGAAGGTTTTCAATGTTTTTCTTTGGACATTGCCACCCCTTTTTCACTAATTTTCAGTCCAGTTCTTGTACCTGTCCTTATGTGGTAAACCACTTAACACTGACCTATTAATCATTCATTTACAACTGATAAATGAAGCCTCATTAGAAATGGCCTTAGTGGAAGGGTGGCTGTCAAGAAGGAAAACAGGAAGAAAAGGTGGAGGTATGCAAAATTACACAAGATGTGGAAAGAAAATCGGGCAACAGATCAGATGGATGTAAACCGGTAAAACTTTGGTTCAAATTGTCATCAGTTTTCCTTTCTTTTTTCGTATGTTTGTGTGTTAGAAAACTGATTGAGGGGGAAGACAGCCGATTGGGCACCATGGTCCAAAGCCTTTCCTTGACTGGAGGCTTGCAGCTTCCTTCCAGTGATAGCAAATGTGCTCTCTCAGCACCTTCAAAGCTGGGTGGATCTTTGAGTGATACAAGCGGTAACAGCACTGAGAGAGCTGCAGGTGCTGGCCGAATAGCAGCAGCCTCATCAGACATCCAGGCTGATGGTAACTTAGAGAAGCAGGCAACAGTGATGTCCAAGAGAAAGACGGTCCTCATCAGGTAGAGGGCGACTTTGGCACGGAATGCATGACACATAAAACCTGTAACATTTTCAGCCAGATCTCTAGTGACTACACAGTAATCATATCATTCTGTCTGATCTCCCCTTTCCCAGAACAGTTAAGACAGATGAGGACATTTACGAAAGTGACACACAGGAGTGCACCATCGTCATTTCCGGAGCAGCCGATGACACAGATGAAGAATAAACCCCCAGCTCTGTGATTCTTTTTGAGTACATCTGGTGTGCCGTCATCACTCCGCTCTGCCTGGTCCTAACTCTGCTTATCTAACCCTCCTGTGTGACATGAGCATGTCACTGAAAGTAAGAAAAATAAACAGCAAGCAAAAATAGTTGTGGTTGTCAATTCAATCATAGAATTCTATCAGTGTTACTTCACTGTAATTTAAAAAAAAACCCACTCTCCTTTTTTCCATTATTTAATTCAAATAATAGCAGCAAAGCCGATTCAACAGTCATTATGTAAACTTACATGATTTAATGAAAATTAAGGGAATTATTTAAAATAACTGTTCACAAATATCTGGGACCAAGTGAAATGACCACCCACATTAAAACCAGCTGTTTGACTGTTTAAATTTTATATATACACACACACAATTCCCCCAACCTTTATTAATTCCCCTGATGTGTACCCCATCATCAGAGTGACAGAAATACAAAGAAAATAAGGACAATATAAAATCATTTGGTATCACCTGACTTTAAAAAAATAAAAAATAAAATAATGATCAGCAATTCTGTAATTCTGATCGATCAATATGGTGTGTTTGTGTGATTGTGGTTCTAATGCAATGGTTTGGGTTCATCCCCAACTCCTCCAGCAAGGCGATACACTGCAAGGCTGACTTCATGTGCCAGGGCGTCAGCACTCTCCTGAAACAACACAGAGAGCCAGAGTATTATTCACAAACCCTTCCCTTCCAGATATTTTTTAACCTCAGTAACACTGGCATGAGAATCAATAACAGAGAAAACTTGGAAAATAGATTTCTCACCTGCGTGTCTGCCTCTGCATATACTCTCACCACATCCTCGGTGCCAGAGGGCCTCACGAAGGAGCGAGCCTGTCTGTACTTCTTCACTAAATTGTCGATGGCCTCCTGCAGGCCTGCTGGGGTCACCGCCCGCCTCTCTGCGTCTGTTGTGTCTATCACCCTGCGGTCCGCCACCTACACAAAAAAAGAAAAAGAAAAAAGATCACCCTCAGGAGCCACTATCTCTAACTGGCTATGTGCAGGGTTATAGTAGACAAACGTTTATCTAAAAAAATAAAAGCCTCCTTAGATTGGTTCGGCACTGCTGTATCATACTATGGAATAAATTAAATGTAAAGTGCGTATTTCTTTCTATCAGTCACACTTTATATCCTGGATATAATACATAACTATACAATATGAGCACCTTGACTTTAAGTTGCCTATTTGGCAGGTCGGTATAAATGGTGTCCCACTGCTGGATAGTCATTCCTTTGATGGCCAGTATGGCTTCAATCAGCAGCATGTCAGAAATGGCATCTCCTACAGTCTTTAAAAGAAAATATCAACGTTAACAAAAGAGCTCCATAGTCTGCATGAGCTCAGTTCAACATTGATGTCAGCGTGAGCGTGCCTGGTTGATGACGTTGATCGTGTTTCGCAGCAGGAGAGCTGCTTTCTTCCTCTCGTCGTTGACGTTTGTGTCCTCAGCCAGCTGCTGGATTTTCTCTTCAGCTGCCTTGCTGAACAACACCTGATCCAAACACAAACAAACGCAGGATGACACATTACTTCTGATTTTTAGCCTTACAGGTGATTTTCAGTGCATTTAAATATGTGTGCATATGTGTGTACTCACTGTTCCGTGGCCATTGGCCTCAAAGTACACACCGACATCAAACTCCTGGGCTACATGGTGAAGATGCTTCACTCCAGTCTTCGTACACCTCACTAAGACCTAAGTGTCAAATAAATCTGTGAGAACCGTCCTCTCCATATAAATACTAAATAAAACACCTGAATTCTCTGTGGAATTTTTTTTGTCACCTTCATTGTGTTCTCCAGATAGTGTGTTGAACTTCCATTAGCATAAGCAGTTTGCACTACTGCTATCTTCAAGTCTAGTCCAGCCTGTGCATTCCAAGGGAGAAAAAATACAAAGAACAGCGATTCTTGGTAAGTGCGTGCCCGTATGTCATTTACATGATTTTTTTTTTAGAGTATACCTGTGTGAGCAGCTCTTTGAGAAAAGTGCTGATGAGGGTAGCCATCTTGTCTCCATCCAGCAGGTGAAATGTTCCTTCAGAGTCCGTGTAGTAATAAACTATTCGATCGGCGTCGCCATCAAAGGAACAGCATCGCTCTCCTGGGTTAATCTTAATGCCTTCATGTGAGAATGCAAGACAGGTCTCGCATATTAAAACGATTACAGTACATTCAAGTAATTTAACTGGCCCTATGCGCACCTGTTGGGGGTTTTTGCTGCACCTTCACATAGTCGGCTCCGCACTGGTGGTTCAGCCTTCCTTTGCTGCCATCATTATTAAGAGAAATTTGTAGCTCTTTCTTCAGGTGACTCTCCATCTCACGTACCTTCAGAGCCCCAATGCCATTAGCGCCATCCAGGCAGAGGTGCTTCTGGTCATCCGTACGGTTGGACGTCTAATGGAAAGAAAACCATGGAGGAGAGAAAGAAAGGAGTAGTTCCTGGATGAATGAATGTATCATAAAACACGTTGACACAAACAAACAAAGAGTGACTGAATGCAAGCGCAAAATAACACACGACACACTTCTGCTTCTTACATTCTTGGTGAGCTGAATGAAAGCTTGGCAGAATTTAGTGTAGTATCCTTCCACTGTGGCCTCTCCATATTTACCCTGCGTGTTTTGACAGCAGACCATGTAGTGAAGCTGAGGGGTGGTCACCAAACCATAGTCTGAAAGGACAGATGGAAAGGATAAAAAGGCAGATAAGGAGCCAGAAGAAGAACCAACAATAAAAGAACAAAAACAAAAACAAAAAAGCCAAGCAAAGAAGGAAACTAATACATTGCAAAGCATATATTTTAATGCAACCCAGCTGAGGGGCAGCCAATCACAGGAATATCTTTTAGGTATCCACTTCTCTTACCTTTGCTGTGACCACCAAGAGCAGAAACTCCATCCAGTACTGCTTGTGAAAGGCTGGCACTGCTGCTCCTACAGGCAGAGGACACGACTGTAAAGAAGCTATTCTACTCATACACACAGGTTTATATTTGATCAGTTTTTGATTTATTTGTTTGTAGTAAGACATTATACCTAGTATCTTTTCCCACAAACACATTAGCCTCCTGGCTCATGTTAATGGCCTCCTTTTCTATAATGTTCTTCAGAGCAGTGAGCAAGTCTTCCTGATCTGCATTGGCCAGCTGGGTGGCATGCTCCTCCCAGTCCTGTGTCACCATCTCGCCCATCGGGTCAACGAGCTTCACGCCGTTGTCTTCCTACACAAGTACAGACACGATGAGACAAACAGGAATGGGCTGAAGTTGTAATTTATGATGAAAATAAACCATAGCTATTTGCGCTTATGAATCCCTCTAACCTCTGGGTTGTGCGATGCAGTGACCATGACACCGATGGTTGCTTTGGTCTTTTTGGAGCGCACTGTGGCCAACAGACCCATCCTGAACATGATGTGGTCCAGCTGTTTGGCGTTGGTCCTGAAGCCAGAAGTACCATACTGCAAAACAAGCCCTGCGGGCTTCGGGTGCAAAGCGGACAGCTTTGATATTTCTTGAAATTCGGCCATTGCTGAAACATATCAGAAAAGCATCAGTGGCAGAGAAAGTGTTAAGATCTTCCTTAAAAGCCCCGCCATGTTAACCTTACTTGAATTATAACATGTACAGTTATTATTATGCAATAAAAGCAGGGGATTCAAGCTACCAATGCTTACCATAACACTTATCAAAAAAAATGATTATCTGTTTATTAACAGATAATTTTTAAAATAAACTCTTTAACAAACAATGGACTATTTAGAGGAGTTCTGAAGTTCCCTAAAAGTTCCCTGATATTGTTTTTAAATAAGGAATTCTCGAAAAATGTTCTTTGGAGAATTTTGTACAAGTCTTTGTTATTAAAGAACGTTCCCTTTGAAGTTTGTCTTTAAAGTTTCACAAATTAATTTTGAATGAAAGTTTTATGATGGTTAAATGAAGGTTTTACAAAACAAACCCTCAGAGAACATTCCTAAAAAAAAGAAAATTGCAAACACTAAATTTGTAGGAAACACTCTATGCATCTTCTCTCAAGACTCTTTTTCATAAAGTCCTAGAGGGAATCTTCAGGGTGTGCTCCCTCTAAACAATAGTTTTCACAAAATAATTTCTGGGTAACTCCTCAGGTAGTGTTCCCTGGAGGTTCCTGAAGCCTCTCTGAAGGTTTCAGAGAATTACATTTTTCAGGGAACCTTTGCTAAAAAGGTTCTTCACATTTTTTGTGAAGAAAAAAAGAATTCCTTTTACAGAAGTTTGCACTGCCACATTAGTAAATCCAGCATACACTTTAGCTGTATTAAACAGAACTATAAAACCAAATTCATTGGAGTAATAAAGAACATCTTATTCAGAAAAGCAATGTTGTAAAATCGGTAGAAACGAGAGGTATGAATGTCATCGAGCTTGAAGTAACTCATGTACTAAGTACTATGTTAAAATGGTTGGAGCATTTGTAAAAAATTAACATTATGGTTTAGTATCCTGCCATATCTTTTACAAAAAGCTGGAGGAATAACATTAATGTTGATGTAATTAAAAGTTAGTTAAGTTTCAAGTTTTCTGATTATCACGCTGTTAATTAAGTTACATAGACACTGTTCATTAATGTTTGTCGTAAAAAAAAAAAAGCATTTCCTGTGTTAGAATATGATATGATTAAGTTTCGGGTTTCTATAAAGAGCCAAGGTGGAATTTCGGTGTGTAAGCCTTTTGATTATTGGAAAGTTTTATATTTATAAGTGTAGTTTTATTATTCCAAGTTTTTCTGCATTTAAAAATTATGCAATTTATCTTCAGTGTATAAAATGATTGGAAAAGAGGATTGCTTTAAAACAGAAATACTTGGAATGAGTTAATTTAAGGTACTTCATTTATTTGTTTATATTCTGTTTTTCTTTGCTGGCTGGAATATTTGATGAACATGTTTGACAGTAATGCCTGTTTGTTTACTTGAAGGCAGTTTAGTAAAAGGATAAATAAATAAATACAATTTTGGCTCTAGCAAAGGTAATACCACCTGTATATGTTATGTGTGTGTGTGTGTGTGTGTGTCCCAGCTTTACTGTTTGAACATAATTGCAAAACAAGCCTAGTAAACCATGAAGGTTATTACTATAAATAATGGTTCGCTAATCGTAATTTGGGTAAAATGTTTTAATTAGTCGTGATTTTGATTTGAGGTCACATGTCCAAGCCCTTGTCTGGAAATGCTTACTTTATTAAAATGTTGTTTATCATATTTAACCATATTTAATAGGCTAAAAACACGGCGACTGGACTAAACACTGACAGCGCTTAATGAGGGCAAAGTATAAAGCTCAATAAAATGAAGCACAAAAAATGAATGGCAAAGAAAGTTACGTGCTTCTCCCAAGCAAAATAAGTTACATAAAATCGTCTCAAGCCACATAAACCAAGAGACTACAATAAACGCGTTGTGTTTAAACCAAAGGTTGCGCTGTGCAGCAGATTCGCTTAATTTTAATTTACTTACTGTTGTGTTTTCTGAAGTATCTCCACTACAGTGCAGTCAGTGAAAAGCTTCCTGGATCTAGGTTCCTCCTTGTCACTACCGGTACGGATCGGGTAGTGACACTCCTTCTCCCTTCTCACGGGAGACGTGGCTTCATTTCCGCGTACGTCACGTGTTGCGAATACACAGCGCATGCTCAGCCAGAGTCGAGCGGTTTTTTTTGTTTGTTTGTTTTTTATACTTTACTGTCGGTACATTTTATTTTCCTAATTATCGTATTTTTTTTTCCAGCTCATTTTCACAATGAGAAAGAAAACAAAAACAAAAGTAAAACAACACAGAAGTAAAACAAAATTAAAATACACAAGTGATACAACTGAGGGTTCTATTTAGAGCTCTGCAGAGCACTGGATCGTGACGTCGCCGACGTCATGCATTATAGTGCCCTGACTGGGCACCTCCCGTACACTTCATATCAGACATCTCTGTCATGGGTACAGGCTGCAGGACAGCTGCGAAAGCAAAAATCTTTATTCCTTTGTTTGACAATGAAATCTGGGTAGGATTTTACACCTCAGACACACAGAAGTCTCTGCGACTCCCTCTGACTGGCATCACCACAAGCCCTTCCACTTGCTGCTGCACCAAAACATGAAGTGTTGTAATGAAACACTGTACCATAATAAAATACATGAAAAACAATTTAACATATGAATTACTCTAATTCTGAAAGATTCACTGTACAGTTTAGTGTAACTATAGTGTAGAAACGTAAGGGCATTATGACACTGCAATATTAAAATTCCAAGTAAAACCTTTTGCCTAATAAAGATGTATGTGGTGCTATAAGATGTAAAATTATAAACTGGAAAAGAAAAGAAATATGTAAACCTGCAGCATTAAAAATACCAAGTAAAAAGAAACTATGCAAAGTGTCTTTGCAGGGCCAAAGATCCAAAAAATGTTTTTCTGCATGAATCACAGAGCCAAGCCTCACTGGTTGCCTGACTGAGTCCCACAAATGTTTTGTTGAGAAAATGTTGCATTCTGTGTTGATCTTATAGTAAAGAATGCTAGTAACCCAGCTTCTACATTTAAATCAGCATTATGGGTGGGTAAACACTGTACATCTGTGTGGTTTTAAAAGCATTTTATGAATGTCTGCGTACTTGAACTGGTTTGGCCTGTAAGAAAGGGGAAAGAGTTGCTGAACTAATAAAGTTTAGCCTATATGAAAGCAGGAAAAAAATGTCAACTGTGTGAGTTAAAAGTTTCAAGAGTCTAGACTTTATTGTCATCATGCAAGCATAACAAAATGAAGGCAATACTTCTTCACACAGTGCAATAAAACTTAGAGAAGCTAAAAAATACTGATATAAATATGAATATAAACAATATATATAAACATAATTTATGACATGCGTTAAAATGTATAGTTTGAATAAGTGTGTATATGTCTACTCATAACTATATAAAACCATTCCAGGTGACGACCCCATGAAGCTCATTAAGAGAATGCCAAGAGTGTGCAAAGCAGTAATCAAAGCAAAGAGTGGTTATTTTGAAGATCTAAAACATGTTTTGAGTTATTTCACACTTTTTTGTTTCTGCATAATTCCATATGCTTTAAGTGAAAATCTACACTGTAATAGTCATCAAAATATAGAAAAAACATTAAATAATTAGGTGTGTCCAAACCTTTTACTCATATTATATTTAAATATATGTATGTGTGTAGTTTCACACCTACTGATCACTAGTTAGGCAGCGTAAGTCACCATGGCAATTTAGCCTGGCAAGAAGTGAATCCAGGGTCAACCTTGAAGTTAACCTGGATAAGCCCAAATCTGGCTGCAGGCTGGTGTCCATCTTTTTTTAAAAATAATTATCTTGTTAATAATTAAATTAAAAAACCTAGCCTAAATAACAAGAACATAAACAAGATTCACAATATCAGATAAGCCAAGGGCTCATAATAGCAGCATAAATGACTAACTTTGGATTTACGTGAACAACAACATGGCCGGGTCTACCCAGAATGCATCGTGATTATCGAGCTCTCTGGCAGAGTTGAGCTACAAGCAAATACGCTAACTCACCATATGGCATACATCCCCAATATCATCTGCTCTGAATACAAAATACGTGATGTTCCCAAATACAAAACAAAAAAATATTGTGATCAGTAGTTTTTTGTGGTTTAACATGTGATTAAAAATACCTCTGCCGATCATATATTTAAAAGGAGCCTGCTTAGAGCAGGAATTGTTTCACCTTCATCATCTGTCACTCCGCGTGATCTACGAGCAGCCCCGGTGGGATACAGCCCACATGCAGCAGCTAGTATGCCACCATGACGCTGGTGTATTAACCCTTTGGCGCAAATTGATAGCGATTTCTGTACTGTGACCCCCCGTGCCCACACCCCTTTAAGAGACGTGGTGATGCGACGTGTGTCACCCAACCCTGTCCGAGAAGCTGCCGAGAGGAGAGTCTGGATGGACTTGTAGACAGGTCAAATAAATAAACAAACCACAGGGGGAAGGGGAAAAGGAAATTCCCTCCTCGCTTTTCCTGTTCCCGAGCCTCTTGCGCTGCGCAGTGTTGGCGACGGGAAGCGGTGCGCAATTTTCTATCTGAGGAAAGGACCACAGCCTGAAACGGCATTTCCGAACCGAGACTGACGGATCAAAGAGGAAAGAAAAGCCGCAATCTGACGACCTGCTTTGCACTGCGGGTTCTTCGTTTATTCAAAAGCTTTTTTTTTTTAATGCAACAACGAAGGAGGGAAAGGGAGCCAAAACCGGTGTTCCCCCCAACAGGGACATTTGACCGACTTATGCAGCGCTGATTTATATACCTTATTTTTCAGAAACACTGTTCTACGATTAGACGAGTCTATTCCATTGCTGGAATAAATTTCACCGGGTTGAGAAAATAGCTTTCGTCGCCAGCTTGTTACATAACCGAGTGGCTTTAGCTCTCCAAGGTGCTGAACTGAACGCTCGGAGCCTATAACAGAACGAGCCGCCGGGAATTCACAACCTTGCGTAAGTCTACTCATGCAACGGCGAATATTAACAACGTGACCACATGATTTACTGCGAAAATAACATTTATCCAGCTCATTTTCTCTGCTTTTCCCCCACCCCCTCCCACACATAAGGTCGCAGGCCTATATTATCTAGGAGAGGGACGCACTCATCTCACTGAACCGCAGGGAAGAAGCTGGGTTGTATTCGTATTTTTCCCCCCTCCCCCTCACCGTCCTGTGGTGAAATAAATTCCTGAGGAGGTCGAAACAACTAGGAGAAAATGTCGGGGCAAACGCTCACGGATCGCATTGCCGCTGCGCAGTACCAGCTAACGGGATCGGATATGGCCCGGGCTGTCTGCAAAGCCACCACTCACGAAGTGATGGCGCCCAAGAAAAAGCACCTGGAATGTAAGTGTGGCCCTCATCCTCACTGCACTGACTGTAGCTTTATAGGTCCTAGGCCTTACATATTACACAGCCACACACGCAGACCATGCCAGCATCATGGGCTTGTTCGTTCCGTTTACTTAAATGGGTGTGCTGCAGGATATAGTAGCCATGGTGATGACCCCCTCTGTTGACCCTTTGTGTCCAGCGAAGATGGTGGACACCCAGGGAGAAAGAAGGAGAGATTGGGAAGGAGAAACGTATGATTTTAAGGTAGTTTGACAGACCCATTTAACTTTCCCTTCCCCTGCTGTTTCAAGGCCACTTTCTTTTACTCCATGCTGAAACCGACTGTAACCGAGGTGGTGCAGCGTACAGGAGCCTGTGCACTAACTGGGTTAGAGTGGAGCCATTTAAGACCAATAAAGTCACAGCTGAATTAAATTACAAACCTCACAGCTTCATTGACACATCTACAGATGACAGCAGGAGCCACCTCCACAAATCATCATTACCACAAACACTGAGTCAACCCAAAGCAGTGGCACTGCTCTGGATAGTTTGATTGGCTCTCTTTCTTGTATGTCTGCCTGTGTGTTTTCCAAGGTTGTGTGTGTGTGTGGTCAGGTCTAGTCTGGTCCTGTGTCTTCTGCTAGGACTTTATATCTTGTGATCCACTCCCCTGCTGAATAATTTAAAAATCAGCCAATGGCTGTCTTGCATAATTTACAAAGCCAAAGGTGACAATGCAAAAGCTAGACTACACCAGAGAGCATTGTTTCCTCATTCTCTGCTGCTCCATGTGATCGTTTCAGTGTTTCCAGCTTTCAGTGGTGCTGATTTGGACATGTGCATGTGTGGACGTGTTGGGAAAACCTTTACCGGCACTGCTTGTAGCCTTTTTGTCCAAGGACATAAAACTGCTGCAGACATGTAGAGATTTCTCTATATATTTTCATTTAGTAAGCTATAACATAAACATGTGTCTTTTATTTCCATAATCAAATAGGTTATACTGGGTCTATTTCTAGGGTAATTCAACAGGGCAGTTCAACAGACTTCTGGTATGTAGGCCACTGTGCCTCTGCTGCAGTCTTGGCTGGAGGAAATTCCTCACCTCAAAACAGTAAAACACATTTTCACTATGAAGACCTATGAAGAACCACACATAGCAAAAAAATCTAATAAACAACTAAAGGCTCACTAGGGTAATTTTTAATGATCAAAACATTTCTAATTAGCTAGCTTTCAGTGTTTTAGTTTAATAATATTAAATATATTATGCAACTACAGGTTTTAGTTATTGCTTGGTGATTATTAGGGTTATTCAATGCTTGACATGCATGTGTAGCGGTGGTTGTGCAGTGCAGTTGCCAAGGGAACAGATTAATAGTGTCAGGGGGCAGTGTAATGACAGAAGGGGACTCTGAGAAGAAAGAGTGGAAATGACAGGCCTGTCATCACTAGACTGCAGAGGAAATCACAATGGATGTGTAGCTATTAAACTGAGACATTTGTTTTGGTCTTTCAGTACAGTTAACTGTCTGACCTTTTTAGTGACATGGTCCACTTTTATGAGAACAAATTACTGATTTGATTGTCTTCAGCAACATAATAAGTAGCCTTAGAAGAAGCAGGTGTGTAAATATGGATTAGTAAGAACATACAGGTGCCTTTCCACCCATGAATAAACTACAAACTAAAAGCTCAAAATGTTATGTGCTTTTCCTTTGGAGCAAAAATCGCCTTGTCTTTTGACTTAGATGTCTGTGTTTGATTTTATTATGAAACGGGCTGGGGTTAAATGACACACTGCATTGAATTTTGTATTTCTGGTTTGTCTAGTCATGCATGGTTATGGCAAACATAGTGAAAGAAACAATGGAGGGCATGTACAGAGTTAATGTATCCACCCAAGGTCAATGAAAGAGTAGCGTTTTCTCATCACCACAGGCACTGATTGTCCGTTTTTTAAAGGTCAAATTGGTATAAAAATTGCTGTTATGAACAGTGTCCCAGTGTTCTTACCTGATCTAGAACTATGTCATACGAGCTTTAGATTATTCAGTCAGTAGTTTAGTACCTGAGTCAGCCTGGCTTTTTCCAGATGTAGAACACGTGCCCACTGGCATCTATAAACTTCACAAACTAACATTTTACATCTCCTCGATTTAAAGATGCAATTCATAAGTGGACGGGGTTGCTGGATAAATGATATGACCTCACTTATATGCTGTGTGGGCCAGTCCTTGGTATTGCCTATTGTCAGTGACTCTGGGAGGGGGCATCTAAAGCATGTGTGAGGAAGTATAAATGCAGGAAGAAACCAAACTGCTAAGACATCAGACATCATTGAGTTTATGTTTTTTTCATTGACTGTCTTTCATTCAGCATGATTAAAAAGAGTAAAGAATCACAGACTGTAAAAAAAAAAAAAAATCCTCTCCGGACAACATTGCTATTCCGTCACCTGGTGCTAGCTAATTAGCATGCTAACTTCAGCAGACAGTACAATATACTAACTTACATATTTGACAACTTCAACATACTGTAATGTCCTATTTTTTTTTATTCTTCACAGTCTGTTTAGTTAGATTAAGTTTCTAAACAGTGTTTTAAAGAAACACTGTATATATTGAAAGTGGAATATTGCTATTTTCAGATTGCAGAGTAACATGGAAGAGGCTTTATGGTGTAGTGGATTATAAGTGAAAGATCCCTGGTTGGATGCAGACCCAAAGGGAAGAGACACAACTTCCTTTTGGGTCTGCATCTGCATAAAAATTCTGCCAACTCAAACAAATGGAGCTACTTGCTGTAGGGAGTGTGTGGTGTGGGAGCACTAACTTCCTAATTTCCTGTTGTCAGCGTGAGATGAATTTACTAGCTTTGGCTAATTTTGATGTATTTAGATAAAGCAAGGCTAGAAAGTTTTCCCCTGTTTTGAGAACTTATGCTAACCTGTGCTAACCATCAAATATCCTTATCCATGCACTGTATTTCACATATAAACACTAGAGTAATGGTAGAATAGAATAGAATAATCCTTTAATTGTCCCACAAGGGGAAATTTGGGTGTAACATCAGCAAGAAAGACACATATACAAACAAACAGTACACAAGACACAGAACAGAAACATACACAATTTTTACATATTTACATCAACGACAATGGTTAACAAAAACAGAGTACTGTACCTTTATTAAATTAAATAAAATTTAATACAGATCAGAGGCAAACCGTGGTTATAGTGTGAATCGGTTGATAAAATAGTGCCAAGTTACAGCGCTGATGTAAACATCTATGTTTGTTGGGAGCAGTTCTGATTGTACAGTCTGACAGCTGCAGGGAGGAAGGACCTGCAGAAACGCTCCTTCATGCATCAAGGATGCAGCAGTCTGTCACTGAAGGAGCTCTGCAGTTCAGTAACATTTACATGCATAGGGTGGGAGACTCTGTCCATCAGAGATGTTATTTTGGCCAGAGTCCTTCTGTCTCCCCCCACCTGCACTGGGTCCAGGGTGCATCCCAGAACAGAGCTGGCCTTCCTAATGAGTTTATCCAACCTCTTCCTCTCAGCTGCCGATAAACTACTGTTCCAACATACAACACTGTAAAAAATGACGGATGCCACCACAGAGTCATAGAAGGTCTTTAAAAGCGCTCCCTGGACTCCAAATGACCTCAGCCGCCTCAGCAGGTAGAGTCTGCTCTGACCCTTCCTGTAAAGAGTATCAGTGTCGTGGCTCCAGTCTAGCTTATTATTCAGGTGAACACCCAGGTACCTATACGAGTCCACTATCTCAATGTCCACTCCCTGGATGTTCACCGGTGTCAGTGTGGTGGGTCTGCATCTCCGGAAATCCACCACCAACTCCTTGGTTTTCCTGGCATTGATCAGCAGGTGGTTCTGCTGGCACCAGTCCACAAAGTCCAGTCCACTGTCTGTACTCTGAGTCATCCTCACCTGTGATGAGGCCGACTATGGCAGAGTCGTCAGAGAACTTCTGTAGGTGGCAGCGTGGGGAGTTGATGGAGAAGTCTGCAGTGTAGAGGGTGAAGAGGAACGGTGCCAGCACAGTTCTCTGTGAGGCCCCCGTACTGCAGACCAGCATATCAGAGACACAGCCCTGTGACATCACATACTGTGGGCGTTCTGTGAGGTAGTCCAGAGTGGTGGTCCACTCACGATAGCTCCAGCTTGTCTCTCAGAAGTCGTGCCTGGATGGTGTTGAAAGCACTAGAGAAATCAAAGAACATGATCCTCACAGTGCTTTCAGGCTTCTCCAGGTGAGTCAGAGCTCGGTGCAGGAGGTAGATGATGGTGTCCTCCACCCCGATGCCAGGCTGGTAAGCAAACTGCAGCGGATGAAGACCTCACCAGGAGGCGCAGATGGTTTAGAACCAATCTCTCGAGGGTCTTCATCAGATGTGATGTCAGGGCTACCGGCCTGTAGCTGCTGAGGTCCTTGGGATGGGAGGTCTTTGGTACCGGTACCGGAGAAGACTCTTCTTCTCCTTGAGGACAGCCTTTATTTCAGGATTTATCCATGGCTTGTTGTTAGAAAAACACCGTACCTTTATGATGGGTATGGTGTTGTACACACAGAAGTTCATGTAATCCGTAATGCGGTCTGTGATGCTGTTGAGGTCATCCTCCAAAGGGCTGCAGAGGTTGTCCCATACAGTAGAATGGAAACAGTCCCTCAGGGCCTCTTCAGTCTCTGCCAACCATTTCCTAACTGTGCATTTCACAACTGGTTCTCTGTGTACTAAAGGTTTATACACAGGCTGGAGATGAACCAGGTTGTGATCTGAGCCCCCCAGGGGAGGGAGAGGTGATGAGCTGTATGCCTCCTTGGTGTTAGCATACAGTAAGTCCAATGTTTTATTGTCTCTGGTGTGGTAGGTGACATACTGGGTGAAGGCGGGGAGAGTGGAGGATGGGGAGATGTGATTAAAGTCCCCAGAGATCAGGAAAAGGGCCTGAGGATGCTGTGTTTGGAGTCTGCTGGTTACA